CCATAATCAGTTGACTCTGAGTTCATCAAAGGAGAGAATATCTTAGCTGGGCCTGACTTAGTGAGACGAGCTCTTAAAAAAAAAAAAAAAAAGGCACTTGTGCTGGTCTTAAAGACAGGTGTAAGCTGTTCTGTTATGAGAGGGCCTAAATAAGAGGCCATGTGTCAAGAACCTGAAGGTGGCTTCTAGTTGCTGAAAAGTCCTTGGCTGACAGCCAGCAAGAAAAAAAAGAGAGCTCAATCATAAAATCACAAGCAACTAAATTCTGCCAACAACCACATGAGCCTGGAAGAGGGCCGCTAGTTTCAGCTGAGATCAGGTCGCAGTTGACAACGTATTTGCCGTCTTGTGAGACCCTGAGCAGAGGACCCAGCTAAGCCTTGCCTGGATGTCTGGCCTTGAGAAAATGTGAGATAAGAAGCCACTAAGTTTGTGAAAATTTGCTAAATAGATACAGAAAACTAACGCAGGAACTACCTCCCTAAACAGAAAGAAGAGCAATAAAAGAAACTGTAATACCATATGAAAATTTAAAAAGTCTGTAGAATCTTCCATTTGTGGGAAGATATTTATGAAGTGCTAGGCATTTTCTTTCCTGTTTTCACCTAATAGCCTTGTATACACACAGACCTGTAATAACGGAGCACATTTTTTTTATTGGCTACCTGCCTTTAATTTAAGATATTTTCCACACTACAACTAAGCAAAGACTTCAGATCTCCACAGTCTCACCTTATCCTTCCCCCTTCTGAGGACATTGGGTACATTACCATTTTCTCTATACTTTTAATGTTAAGAGATCTATGTAATTTAATGAAAGTGTAAAGCATACTCTTTTCTTTCTAGTCCAAAAAAAAAAAAAATCACTGAGAATTGCCTCTGAAAAGAAAGTATTTTGATTTGAACACATTTTCTTGGACCGTTTGAACAACCTATAATTGGAGTACATAAAATATATGCAAACATGAATGAGTTTCTGAAGCACAGTTCTTGAATGCTTTGATGGAAATCTCCTTGACAGATACCACTGGGCCCCAGACTTCCTTTAAAGCTTAAACCTTGCCTCATTAACCCCAAAGGGGAAGTAGTATGGCCAAATTTTGATATGACTAGAAAATGTAGGCTAATGTACCATTATGTTTGAGAATGGCTACTTTGAGAATAAGTATTATATTCTCAAAAAAAATGTGTTTTTCTCCAATGGTACTCTGTGGCAAATATTTGCACTGAAAACTATTTTATAAAATAAGTACTTGTGTCCTATATGTTCCCTTTGTCCAAATTAATATTCATGTACTTAAAGCAAAATTCTATTAACAAAATATATATTTTTAAATACATTAAATGTGTTTTAAAAAAGGAACTATGGAGGAGTAAACTATATGCAAGTCATAATGCTAAGATTGTGTGTGTGTGTGTGTGTTTGTGTGTGTGTTTTAGAGTATTTCAAATGAGAAATATAGCTACATGCAATGAGTTAAATAAAGTAATTGGAGTTGTTTTTCCCACTAAAAGAGGTAGACATATTCAATATTTCCAAGGTCTTAGTTTTTCTAAGTCTCATTTGCACTTGAATTAAACACAAATGAGAAGATATTTTAAGAGTAAATATATTTTAGGGTAGTTTTATATACAAAGATTTATATTTTCTAATAGTTTAAAAAAATAACATTGTATTTGAGAAAAACAATTTAATTAATGGTCCACAATTATCTTTAAATACTGACAAAAAGCTCACTTTTTAAATATTAAAAGTAAAATATATCATATTACATAAAACAATAAAATGTCACTAGGTGAAAAAGTATATTAACCTCTTTTATGTTGCCCTGTGATTATACATCAACTGATACATTAGTAAGATGATGTTGTAGGCTTTTCTTGTCATATACTTGTTTTTTTCCTGGGGGAAATGTTAGATGCTGTTTTGTCTTATTATTTTTTATTATAACTAGAAGCCTGGTGCACAAAATTCATGCATGGGTAGAGTCCCTAGGCCTGGCTGGCAATCAGGGCCAATTGGGGCCTTCCTTTGTTCTGGGCCGCCCCCTGGTGCTCAGTGCATGTCATAGTGAACAATCAAACTCCTGGACTCCTGTCTACGGGTTGAACTCCCAAGGGGATACTTTGCATATTATATATATATAGATAGATATTAAATATATATAGATAGATATTAAATCAAGAGGGCTAACAATAATACTACAGATATCATGGTTAAGTTAGCAAAGTGGTTTCTCAGGGTTATTGTTTGCTGACTGGATTTTTATCAGAATTGTCCAAAATAAAATAAGAAACTAACGTGACACTAAAATGTACCCAAAAAATAATGCAGAAAAATTTTAGCAAGTAAGCACATTGCATTGTTAGTATAATAATATTGTCCATTCTCTAGGATCATTTTTATTTGAGGGTGTAATAATTTAGCAACATCAAAACTTGCTAACAGTTTTATCTTGCACAAGAAAATAAATGACCACTATAAAAAACCAAGAGAAAGAAGAAAAACCATGGGAAAAGAGTTTCCAGGATAGTAATTTTACTTAAACGAAATCGTGTCAACACAGAAAAGATAGCATAACATGATAAACTGAATATTTAGCCGGGGAAATGGTATGCATATGATTCTAGACACAGCAAAATTTAGGGGTAAAGATTTGCTTCAAGTATTTTTTTAAGTGTCCAGTTGTTCAAGTCATCCTGCAATTCAAACAAAGAGCAAATGTGAAAGTATAATCCTCTTTCATTGAGTGAGGTTTGTTGGGACCAGGAATAGCCGGCAAATGTTGTAAACAAAACATTTGTGCTACTCATCACTTTGAAATGTGCTTCACTGATTTTCAGATTGATATCATCCAAAGTGGTTCCCTCCAGGAATTCCCCAGAAGCTGTGGATCACAAACAAAGCCTGCACTCCAACAGTTTTAATGTGTGTGTTTTTTTTAAATATTCTAAATGCTGATATATGTGAATGTCTTCCCAGATAAGGATTTAAAATGTCTAACCTTCTATTTTATTAACATTAACGTGTAGTTAAGATAGAAAAAGACCTACTCACTAGTGCACCTCTCCCTCTTTGTAAATGCCTTCTGCTTGTCAAATATGATAGTGACAGAGGCATCCTCATACTGAGGATCCAAAGCCCCTCATTAGCAATTGATATCTAAGTAGAACCCTGAGGTAATTCCCAGGGCTATGCCTGGATGACTCACTGCACAAGGCTCTCCATGCAACTTTAAATGACAATGATATAAGCAACTGCTTTTTACCAATTACTTCATTTTTTTTCAATAGATGTCTTGTGACCAATGTCAGAAGGCTTTGAGGGAGGAATATTACATTGGCAATGTCAAGACTAAACATCCACATAGAACTAATTACTTCCTAAGGTAATAAACACAGCACCCCCCAATCATGCATGATTAAGGGCTGCAGGGGTGAATTTGTGTGATGGTTAGGTGGTGGAGGTAACGGCGTAGCAGGGACTTGACATTTTATTGCAAATTTTGGTCGTATTATTATTTAAGGAAGACAGATATAGCATGGCATTGCACTTTTCTTATGCTGCCTGACACATCTAGAATGTAAAAAGGGACAGAGTGGCTACAGCTAAAGATAACACCGGAAGACTATCCACCCCAGCTACCACTCGTAGGCTGGATGTCAAGAACAAAAATTGAATAAAATCAAGTCAATGCTTCATCTCTCCCTTATGTAATAAGTTTCCCGAGTATTCCCGAAGTTCAAAAGTCCAGGCGTTACTTCCCAGCATCGTTAGAGTGTGTATCTAGAACACTGGAGTGGAAATAAAATTCAATGAGGTCTCCATACCAGCTCCAAAACACATCATAGTAAAAAAAAAAAAAATCTCAAAAACCCACCACACACAATAATACCTGAACCACTGGGGGGTGGGAGGGGAAGCCTTTTAAATTAATGAGTTTCTAGGAGTCTGGTGTAATAGTAAGAAAAAAGAGAGATAGCACGGAAGCAACATACGCTAGGAGGAAAGTGTGAATGGATATTCATAGTGAAACCGACTGAGAACATTTGCTGGAGAAGTGACTACAGACTTTAATTACAGGGAGAAAGCTGACTGGGAAGACCAAAGGGCTGGAGAAGGGAGCTAGAGAAAGACTGGGAAGGGATCAGGACCTGACCGTGGTCCTGAAATAGAACAGTTGTTCCGATAGAACACACTATCTCTCTCTTTAAAACAACAACAATCACAACACACACACACACACACACACACACACACACACACACACACACCTGTCATATAAACAAGCTACACGTCCAGTAACAGTTCCCCTTAAAAAATGTCAAAACTTTCTTTTCTGGTAAGATCAGCCTTTCTAATGCCCAGCTCCTCCTTCCCCAACAATTTCTCCTCGAGTGTTAGGATCATTTCGGGATGGAAAGGTACTCTCTGCTAGTGTAAAGCAGGAATCAAGATTCTGACAGACTCACAATGTTTAGAATCCCACAGAAAGCTTACACTTGGCAATTCCTGGTTCTAGTCTGCGTTTCTTAAACTCTCATGGGAAATCATGCCACCCTAAAGACCTCAGGGAAGGAAGCTCCAGGGACCAAGAACAGTCCAAACTCTCCCTATCACCAAGGAAGACTTGACAATGTGGGATTACGGTGGCATAGCCCCCACTGTGGACAATCCCCACTCCCACCTCATCAACTTAATAAAAACCAATCCCCGAAAGAGGTACCGAAAAGACAAGGTCCCAAAGGGAACGGGGACCAGCCTTCAGGCTCTTCGGGCCCCAAGTAACCAAGGAGCCCAGCTAACACCAAAGTGGGCACTGGCTGCACCCAACCACTAACATTTCTCCGCACAAAAGACACCTTGGCAGGAAATCCACTCCGCTGTTGCACAAAAAGGTGAGAGCGAAAGTCATGTCCACCCACAACACACCCACACAAAAAAATCATTATAAAAAAAAAAAAAAATACCGGGCCACTGGCCCAAGTGCAGGACTTACGGGTGCCGTCAAAACGGGTGGCGATGGTGTCCAGGAAGGTGTTCTGGGGCGCCAGCAGTCCTTTCATCACCGGCATCTTTCCAGCGTGGTGTGAAATTCTCCATCAAAGTTTGTCCGGGAGGGTTGTTCCAGAGGAAAGTGCCAAGAAGGGTGAAGGGGAGCGAGGGGATGGCGGGGAGGGGGCCGCCCGGGCGTGGCGGTGGGGCCGAGCCCAGGGAAGGGGGAGGCTGGAAGGAAGGAGGGAGGAAGCGAGTCCCCGCCGCCGCCGCTGCTCAGACAGGAGCAGCCCCGAGAGCGCTCTGCTCCGCACCTCCAGGCTCAGCCCCGCGCAGGCTCCTCTCCCGCCTCCTCCACCTCTGCCAGCCGCTTAGCCCCCTCCCTCCTCCCCCCTCCCTCCTCCCTCCTCCCTCCTCCCTCCTCCCCGCCCCTCCGCTGGCGGCTGTGCCCGCCGGGCGCCGGGCGCGTGCCTCGTCCCCCCACCCCGCCCGCCCGCCCGCCCGCCCGGAAAGCGCCCTCGGAGGGCGGCCGGGGCGCCGCGCCCTGACCCAAGTCACCGGGGTCTTGGAGGGCAGCGCCGGGCCTCCCCGTCTCTAAGGGGACTTGCCAGGAAACGCACGCGAGCGCATCTCCCACCCCCCAGGAGCCAGGGAACAAAGACCCCTTTGTTCGCTCCCGCTCCCTCTCTCGGGAGGAGCCCGGAGGGAGTCCCGTGGGTGTGGTGTTGGAGAAAGGGGAGGAGATAGGTCCGGACAGGTGCCGGGCCTCCTCCGCCTTGAACTTGAGAGGGGAGGCCACCCCGTGGTGTCCAGCCCAGCCCCGGGGGGAGGTGGCCCCTCCCGGCGCACCTGCCGGCGCCCGCGACAGACAGCGCCCGGCGGCCTGGAGTTCGCTGCACGGCCCCTCGCCCATCACCCGGAAAATGGCCATGGGTCTCCCCAAGCCATTCTAAACTAAACAAAAAAAACAAAAAGAAGAAGAAGAAGAAGAAGAAGAAGAAGAAGAAGAAGAAGAAGAAGAAGAAGAAGAAGAAGAAGAGGAGGAGGAAGAAGAAAATAACAGCTTTCCCTACAATGGGTGGCTTCCCTCTGTCTCCGGTGAAATGTGAACCAAACATTTCTTGAAAAGTTTGCTGTTTTTATTGCTTTGCAAAATGACAGCGCAAGTAAAAAAAATAAACCCGGTAAGGCTGCCTTATTAGAAACAGCTTCAGACTCACTAGCCCAGCTGCCCCTCTGCCTTCGCCCAGCGGCGAGCGCCCTCCCAGGCCGGCACCTGCGGGCGGGAAGCCCAGCGGAGTCCCTGGAGCAAACAACTAGGAAAGCGAAAGTGGTCTGTCCGCGTCCCCGGCCCCGGCCCCGGCCCCGGCCCCGGCCCCGGCCCCGGCCCCGGCCCGACCCTCTTCCCACGCGGGAACTCCCTCTCCACCGACGGCCTGCCCGGGAAAACCAAGCCCAAACCCGGCACGGGACATACAGCCACCCGTGGAAGGGAAGGAGAGGTAGAAAGTTGAGAGTTAGAGGTAGAAAAACAAACGTGGGCGCAGGTGCTGGGCGGCCGGAAGGAAAGGAGGGGGAAGCGAACAGGTGTGTGAGCCCCGGCGAGCGAGAAGCAGCTCGGGCGTGGCTGCAGGCGAGAGCGCCCTCCCCCACTTATGTTTTTATTTTATTTTATTTTATTATTTCTTTTTTTGGGGGGGTGGGGGAGGGGGGTTCCTTGTTTGAATTCTCCTGGCTCCTGCGGCCAAGGGGAACCCTGAGGGCTTCGTCACCGCTGCCCAGGGCTCCGGGAGGGCTGGGGTGCAGGGAGGGAGGGAGGGAAGCACCCCCCTCTCCCCGCCTCCGCCCCCCCCTTCCTAGTGATGCACTTCCTGCGGCCGAGGATTCCCTTTGTGTTGAAATTCTGGCGGATCCGGCAGCGGTGCGCCTCTAGCGGGGGGTGGGGGCGCGCCTGGCTGGAGAGGGGATTCCTTGGTAGGCCTGGCGCTGGGCACAGGGTCCACCCCCCTGCCCAGCTAAACTCTGAGCTGGGCTCTCTCCGGCGGCCCCATGTCCTCCCCTGAACCCCGCAGCTCCCGAGCCAGCTGAGCTTTGCGGAAACGGAGCTGGCACGGGTGGTGTCCCCCACTCGGCGCGCAAAAGGCGGGTGGTGCTGCTGGCTCCCTCTGCGGCAGAAGCCTGGAGAGAGAGACCAGGGAGTCCCTGCTTCTGTTTGGGCGGTGCATAGGGCCCAGAAAATCCAGACTGCTGCTGTCAGTTAGTGGGATTATTGTATTCTGTGAGATTAATAATAATAATAAAAAGCATGGTTTGGTTGTTGCTGCTACCATTATTCAGCCTCGTTTAATGAACTGCAAATGCTGAACTTATGCAAAGGTGCATATTTATTTTTGAATCTCTCTTACGAAATTTGCTCACAAAAACGCCCATTGTGCCAGAAAAAATGCCTCCCTTGAAGTGACTTGGCGTTCATCAGTTCATCGTAAACTATAGTGACAACCACGGTGCAGGTTTATAAATTTGCGCTTTAGAGCTGTGTGTGTGTGTGTGTGTGTGTGTGTGTGTGTGTAAACAGTTTCCTGGTGGAATTGATTAATGTTGCCAAATGCATAAAGTCATTTGCAAGAAACAAGCAGCAAGAGAGGTGTAAGAATGACAATCCCAAAGAAAGCTTACATTTATTGCAAAGGGACCCCAGCATTTATTGATCACTCACTGTCTTAGTCTCCTTTCCTGCATCTACTATGTGTCAGGGACTGGACGAGGCATGACCCTCAATTCATGTTCAATCCGGACAGTCTGCTGGATCCTGTTAGTCTGTCAGAGTTAGATCTCATCATTTTTTTTTTTTTAATGTTTCATCACCCAGGAGTCTGTCTTAATGAAAGCTGTCATCACCTGTGTGGCCTGGGGGTCCAGGCCCTCTCTCAGAACTAAACAAGGACCCATTGCTCCTCCTCAGAGTCTGTGGCATGGGAGAGGCCAAACCTGGGAATTCAAACATGATCTTCATAATAGTCTAAACAGCCGAAACCAGTCTGGCTCAGTGGTAGAGCGTCGGTCTGCGGACTGAAAGGTTTGTAGCTCTCTATCTCTCTCCCTTCCTCTCTGTAAAGAAATCAATAAAATATATTTTAAAAATAATAATAGTGTAAACATTTTAAGTCCTCTAGCACCTTGAAATCAAAAAAGCACAAACAAGAGATGCAATGAGAATTGGAAATTATCTGTCACACACACAAAAAAATCACATTCTTTTTCCTTAAAGGAAATGTTCCCCGAAGATTGACAAAAAGAACTGCAACTCCTTTTACTGAAGACCCACTCTATCCTATGGAGATGTGAAACCTCAATAAGACAACATCAGGAGAATGCAGCAGCTACCAGCTTCTTGAGGTTTGGTTCAAAACCTGCCAGAACTGAAGCAGGCACAAAGCCCAGATGCAGTGGAAGGAAACATAAATCCATGGGTTAAAATCTCCACATCCATTTGTTAACACTTCAAGTTTCAAAGGAAATTGCCTTACAAAAGTATTCCAAAATATGATTTGGGGGGGGGGGGATCCCTTTTACCTATTCTACGTATTTCCATAAGAACTTGGGGTTTATCTGGGCTCAAGTCAATAACGCTTCATAGGGAAATTGTAAGACAAATAAAGAAGTATACATTAAACTCACGAGAGAACAGAAGTCAGGTATTAATGGCAATTGTTATTGTTTCAAGTTGATTCTCTCCTGTTGGGGGGAGGTCACCGAGAGGACATGACTGCCTAGCTGCCCTCTAGGCTTGGCATGGAATATACACCTTGCCCACTGTTCCCAAGCTGATGCCATTTTCAGGAACGCTGCCCAGAGAGAACAATGTGACGTTGAGACTCTCTGGGCCTGGCTGGTATACAGGACTGAACCCCACTAAGGCCTCTATGGAAACTCTTTAAGATTCTAACGGCCAGTTTGGAGATGTACTCATCATGTGACCCCTCAAGACAAGTTTCTGTAAGTTCACCCTGTTTTCAAGTTTTATTGATTTCAGAGAGGAAGAGAGAAATAGAAACATCAATGATGAGAGAGAACCATTGATCGGCTGCCTCCTGCACACACACCCCCGCCGGCCCCCGGGGGATCGAGCCCACAACCCAGGCACGTGCCCTTGATCAGAATCAAACCTGGGACCCCTCAGTCCGCAGGCTTGTGCTCCACCCACTGAGCCAAACCAGCTAAGACAAGTTCCCCCTGTTTTAAAATTAACCACTCACTAATCTGGGGTGATAGGCCTTTCTTGGGTCTCTCCTTGCCTTCCAAGTACAGGAGCCAGTGTAAGATTTCACCTGAAGCTCTGAGGTTTCAAACTAACATCTTCCCAACACTTCATGCTGACTTTGCAGCCTAGGTGAGATTGAAAAGAGCTTTAGGAACTCCCAGGTGTGTTTGATGGTTTTAGGCCCTTTTCTCATCCATTTTCTAATTATAGCATTCACCAAGGCACAGACAAATGCTGCTGCACTGATGTTCATGTATTTGACTGAATCTCTCTCTCTATATTTTTTAATTTTAATTCTGACACGAGGATATTTTTCCATTGCTTTTCAGAGAGAGTGGAAGAGAGAGGGAAAGACAGAGAGAAATATCAATGTGAGAGAAACATATCAATTGGTTGCCTCCCCATCAGGGCCTGCGTCAGAGAGGGGCTTGCAATTGGGGTACATGCCCTTGACCAGAATCAAATGCTGGACCCTTTAGGTCACAGGCCAACATTCTATCCACTGAGCCAAACCAACTAGGGCTGAAAATATTCTTAAACATTTTCTGAAAACAAGACTTTTATTCCTCAAGGGAATTCTTTTAATTTATTGGCTGATTGGTATAAAAGAGCATCTATTCAGAGGCGTTTGTTCTAGTTTTGTCTCTACCCTTTGTGACTTTGAGGTGACCTTGGGCAAGTCATTTAATTTTTGTGAGTTTCCATTTATTCACCTGTGAAATAGAGATAATACTTTCCCTATCTACTTCACTGACTAGAACAAAATATTTGTTTATAATTTTTAAAACTTGTAATGTGTGGCATAGAAGAGATTATTACAACACTAGAGGCCCAGTGCATGAAATTTGTGCATGTGAGGAAGGGGGTCTCCTCATCCCAGCTTGCATCATCCCCAATCTGGGACTCCTTGTAGGGGTGTCGAACTCAATCAGAGAAGGGGCCAAAATCTAAAATCCAGCCTAAATCGCGGGCCGAATGGTTTACTGAACAGTCATAAACTGTCATTGTGATGGAAACGCAGTGGAGTGCAGTGATGACAGCGCGGTGCGGGCCACATTGCAAGGCCTGGCGGGACGGATT